TAATTAAAAGGGAAGTCATCCCTAAGGGTTGACCGTTCAGGGATCATAGAGGCCTCATGGGACTTGTCAGTGCTGCTCATCTCTGCCAGCCTAACTCTAGTGAAGTTCCGCCTCTATCAGCATTGCTCTAAAACCTCCTCACACCACACCCTAGAGCTCAAGAAGTTCTAAATATGTTCAAAAGCCAGTCAGCTGATGGGGGCAAGGGTGTCAAGGGAAGGACTGAAAAAGGCAAGCAGCGGTGTGGGGAATAAGTCTAGGAAAAGCTTCTTGGAAAAGAAACTCCTCACCTTCTCATACCCTTCCTATGGCTCTGAAAAGCAAACCCAGGCCATCCGAGTCGGGAAGCCCACCTGGGAGTATTTCTGACCGGGACTCCCCTTGAGGGGATCTAATGTCACAGTGCTGTTAGTCCCCTAGAAAGCACTTCTGAGTTAATTATTGGACAGATTGCTTTTGATTTGCTATTTTCTCTTATTGCTCTGTATGTTTATTTAATTTTAAATAACTTTTTAAAATAAATGTTTAAAATTATTTTAATATTGAAGAAGTATAATCTCTCACCACTTGTGTATGTACTGTTGTGTAGTTTCAATCATAGAATCAAGCATTTCATTTTTGGCAGAAATAAAAATACACCTTTCTCCCTCTTATACCCCAACATATGTGTGAGATGAGTACCACTGGGATTTAGGATGAAACACTCTACTTTTACTTTTTTTTTTTTAACATTTTTTTTTTTTTTAAACAAAGATGGTGTTTCACCATGATGGCCAGGCTGGTCTTGAACTCCTGACCTCAGGTGATCCACCCACCTTGGCCTCCCAAAGTGTTAGGATTACAGGCGTGAGCCACCATGCCCAGCCTCTACTTTTACTTTTCATGTCAACTATTATCATACTTTTTGCTGTCAGGTCTTAGAATTTTAAATAGTTCATGAATTATCAGAGTATCTCAGTGTACAGGAAATGCTGCACCTTTGTGGGCAAGTTGTGTATGTGTGTATATATGTGTATGCATGTGTGCACAGAGGTTCAGCTGGGAACAGACCTGAAATGTCACTCCAGGGTCTATAGTCCCATCTGAGAGTTGGTTGAGCTTCGCTGCCAAAGCACCAGCCCTTATTTCAGTTTCTACAGCCATTGGGTCATAATGGGAATGAATCTTGGTTGATCTTGAGGAGAAGCTGCTAGTCTAGGGGGCAGCAATACCCTGAGGAGTCCATCTGCGCGCTAGGGAGCAAAAGGAACTTCTGCATGTACCACACTTTGAAGAATGAGCTCAAGCTATGAGTTTCCTTCCAGGGTAGAGAACTGATGTTTGTGTCTCTGCAGTGATGGCTCATATAGAACTCCTGCATTATGAATTTGAAGAAAGGAAAATTATAGCACATGTTATGCTAAGGAAGGAATAATAAAATGGTTTGTGCATACTTCTCACTATGGCCATATTTACAAGCAAGAAGACACTGTGCTTTCAGATCCCACGGACATCTCCCCATCTCATTTTAATAGGGTTATAAAGTAATGCAAAACAGACACATGTATCCAGTCCTGTCATCCAAGAATTACATTACAACATGGGTGAAGAGTTGGCAGTGCTCACCCAATTTTGACATTCTTATGCCCTGAGAATGAGAGTGTTTATAGGAGTTTATAGAAACTTCTATGACATCCTTTAAAAAAAAAAAAAAAAAAAAAAAAAAGCTAAAGTTACTGTGTGAATGCAAAGGATGTTTTATAACCAAAACTGGAAATCATTATTTTTAATACTAAGAAGCGTATCTTTTATTATTATAAGACCCTGTATTTTTTTAACTAAACTATAAATTTAACCAATTTTATGAGACACATCAAGGTATTAAATTCTTTTCAGATCTTCTCATTGCATAAGTCACCAACTGTTTACAGTATTCTGAGTTATTCAGTGGTATAAATTTACAGATCATTTTTAATAGAATCTTGTGGTTGAAACAGAACTTCATAGTCATCTGATCCAACCTGCCCACAAGTGCTGAAGTCTTCCCCACTTTTTCTTTCGAGACAGGGTCTCTCTCTAGGCTGGAATGCGGTGGTGTGATCATAGCTTACTGTAGCCTCAAACTCCTGGACTTAAGCAGTCCTCCCACCTCAGCCTTCTGAGTAGCTGGGACCACAGGCAAAGGCCACCACACCCAGCTAATCTTTTTAATTTTATTTATTTTTTTTTATTTTTTGTAGAGACGGGGTCTCACTATGTTGCCAAAGCTGATCTTGAACTCCTGGGCTCAAACGATCCTCCCACCTCGGCCTCTCAAAGTGCTGGAATTATAGACATGAGCCATCACACCTAGCCCACTCCTTTCTTTACTCCGGTTAGAAAACACTTCCATCTTGAGACAGAACTGGCTTCCATGCAGTTGTCCTCGTTCTGGCTTCTGGGATCATTCTCAACCACTGAGTCTCAGCATGTTGGGCATGATGGCATGTTGGGCTCATGTATGTGGGGAGGGCTTGTGTCACGTACGCGTCATGTACTTGAGGAGGATGTAAATTTCCGGATCCTTAATGAAGAAAGAGTGGAGGGGTTGCAGCTTTCCAACTATATGCCCTTCACACCTTCTGAGATTCCTGACCCCAAATTAGCTGGGTGTGGTAATCCCTGTAATCCCAACTACCTGGAAGGCAGAAGCAGGAGAATCGCTTGAACCCAGGGGGCAGAGGCTGCGGTGAGCTGAGATTGCACCACTGCACTCCAGCCTGGGCAACAAGAGTGAAACTGTCTCAACAAAAAAAAAAAAAAAAAAAAAAAATGGAAAGGAGAAAAGACTGAATATGATATTGCTTTCCCCACATATATCATAGTACAACTGTCACAGATTGAGTTAGCTGGCTCTGATTTTAAATAGCTACTATTTAAATATTTGCCGAACATATTGTTACCACTTGGCCACATGAATATTGTTTGGAAAAAAACATTTACAAGTTTAAGGCCATGTTTAAGTTGTTCTTTTTGGTTTCAGGCCTAATATACCTGGATCACAGCATCTGTGCCACTATTACTGGGGACAATGTCACATCTTTCAGGAATACTGGTACTAAACTAGTACCTAAGCCTTTCTTCCCCAAGGCTAGTCTTCAGAGACTCAAAGACAACTATTATGCCTTGTCTCTACCTCTCCTATTTTCTAGACCAAAAACACCAAGCCTTTAGCCATTCTCATGAGTCCTGGCTCCAGCACCCTTCACTGGTGGATATCCTCAGGCAGCGCTCAGGTTACTCACTGTTCCTCTCAGAGTCTGGCCCTGGAAGTAAGACACAGAACTGCAGTGTGATCTATAGGACGAGGAAAGCAAAACGATCCCTCTTTTTGTTTTTGTTTTGCTTGCTTTTAAGAAAGCAGGACTTATAAATCTCATCAGTAGGACCTCATCATTTTATGTGGGTTCTTTTGTATGTCACTAGTTTTGTAAGTAAAGACCTACGTCATACATCAAAGTTATCAGACTGAGGCTGAATGAAGCCCACTAGTCCACCTTAAAGACAACTGTCCTGGGAATGTGGGCAACATCCCATTTGCCCACTGCTATAGCTTACAGCACCTTATACTCACCTCTTCCTAAAGATCATTTTTGAGTAACAGCATGACCATGCTGTGCACTGAAGCAAGCAAACCCTTCTAGCTTAGGTGAATGAGAGGGAGCAGCCGAAGTATAAAACAAAATAGTAAGTTCGTAAAAATTACAGCGCACAATAGGCTCAGATAAAATATTCATTGTTAAATAGAATTCCCTGTATGTGACATGTTCTCTTTCCTAGTAATTTTCAGAGTTGTTTCAAACTTTTTACTCAAGTTTTTTCAGCCTCCAATTAAAGGTGCTGAGCTGCACCAGTCTCTGTGACCCTAAGCTCCAACCTTCTTCACTACAATTTGGGGGCGCTAACACATGCCGGGCACAGTACTCAATTATAAATATACGATTTGTGTATATCGTGTGTGTACACACTTCATTTTCCCCATGGAAAAATTTATCCCTCACAACTATCCTATAGAGTTTGTTACCTCCATTTAACAGATGAAACAAACAAGGATCAAAGAAGATACTGCATAATATTCTCTAGATGTAATAATTAGGAAATCAAATTATTTGACCCAATGCATCTGTTTCTAAAGACTGAACATAGCCAGGTACAGTGGCTGACTCCTATAATCCCAGCACTCTGGGAGGCCGAGGTGAGAGGATCATGAGGTCAGGAGTTCAAGACCTGCCTGGCCAACACAGTGAAATCCCATCTCTACTAAAAATACAAAAATTAGCTGGGTGTGGTGGAGGGCACCTGTAATCCCAACTACCTGGAAGGCAGAAGCAGGAGAATCTCTTGAACCCAGGGGGCAGAGGCTGCGGTGAGCTGAGATCGCACCACTGCACTCCAGCCTGGGCAACAAGAGTGAAACTCTGTCTCAACAACAACAACAACAACGAAGAGTGAGAGGAGAAAAGACTGAATATAATATTGCTTTCCCCACATATATCATAGTACAACTGTCACAGATTGAGTTAGCTGGCTCTGATTTTAAATAGCTACTATTTAAATATTTGCCGAACATATTGTTACCACCCGGCCACATGAATATTGTTTGGAAAACAACATTTACAAGTTCAAGGCCATGTTTAAGTTGTTCTTTTTGGTTTCAGGCCCAATAAACCACAGCACATCCCTAATCCCTGTGCACTTGGAGGGCGGGAGTGTGTCCTAGTCAGTGTTCCTTCCTTCCAAGTCCTGAGCATAGTGCTGTGATGTAGTCAGGACTCAATCTTGGTAAACATTGGTGTAATTAATAGGTTACAGGTCCACCAAAGAAGCATATGCTATGCTGATCATTGCAGAAGAATTCCAAACGAAATGCACCCCGTTTTCCAGATACAAGTGGTTGGGAAAAATAATGAACTTGCGTTGCCACTCATGGGGAGGGCACTAAAAACCTTGTCTCATACCTGCTTTCTTTTTTGCTCTCCCAGTAAGTGAAAATGGTGACCACCTAAGCACATGGATGACCACATAGATGAGACATAAGCACAGTTGTGGTAGAGAAGTTTCTCCACTCCAGAACTGTCCACAGCAACTTGGCTGAGCCCCACTACACACAGAGAAGTCATCAACCTGAGTTAACAGTTTTTGAGATGTCAACTTCAGGCTGATCAGCAGATGGGATGTGAAAAATACTACCCTATTCTATCATTTGCTGTTGCTTGCTGAACTGTGAAGAACTGCATGAACTATATTTAAGCTGCTTTCTATACCATTGCCAATCACGTTTTTGGACTTGGAAGTGCTATTTTCCTATGGACTTTTGCATTATTTCATTGTGCATGCATCCAGTGATTATACATAAGCAACATATGTAATCTGCTTATATATTTTTAAAAATCCATCCATGCAAGTGGTAAATAAAGTATAAATTCTTTTTGCAAAATTATAGCTCATGTCATTAAAAGTTTAAATTGGTTTCATTTAAAGATCAATATAATAGGTCTGCCTATACTTTATAGAAAACTAGCTTCTATAAAGATTTTTTCACTGTTTACTAGTGAAATGAGAAAAGCAAAGCTATTTATAAAAGGCCTTATGTCATGTACATACATTGTCTTTGAAATATTTGTGATCTAGTTTATTGCTTGTAAAAGAGAAATTATATAATTTATTTAGTAAATACTACTGTAAACTATAGTTTTGTTGAGAGAAATAAAATATTTTGTTCTCAGTTGTGGTACATTGATTCCAATGATTTACGGTCTTTACATTTCTTTTGTTAATTAAAAATAACCCAAATACTCTTCATTTGAGATATTCAGAAATCCTAAATAAACTGAATTTCATGATGTGTGAAAATGGAAAAAGCTTCAATAGCAGCTTCTTCTGAACTTATCCCAGAGACTTTCCCAAATGTCCTGGTATATTAGTCAGCTTTCACCATGTTATGCTATGGTAACAAACAATCCCAAAGCATAGGCGCTTACACCAACATAGTTTTACTTCTCCCTTACATGGGGAGCAGCTGCAGCTCTCCCAAGAATCTTCTTCATTCTAGGGTCCAGAGCAGCCACTATGTGGGAAAGGCAACTTTCAGAGGCAGTAGAAAAAGAGCAATGGCAGAACCTATGAGAGCTCACAGAGCTTCTGCTTCAGTGCAGCTGACAGCATTTCTACTCACGTTCCCTCTGCCAAAGCGAGTGACACTGACAGGTCTAAAGTCAAAGGTATGGGATATACATCTCTCACACGGGGATGGACTCAGCAATGATTATTTTAATCGATTCATGCAGTTTACACCGATAGGTAAGTGTCCCTAAGAGGCTGGGAGAAAAATCATTAGAAAGCAAAATGATCAAGGCTGCAGAAACATATTCCTGATGAGTAAGATGTTCAGTGTTAAATACTTCAAGTTAAAACAAGCTGATTCTTGTAAGCAAACATGCTGTAAACTTTTGTAAATGTAGCCCGGAGCCATAGTTACTCAACATAAGTAGCAATTTCACTGCAGAGTCAGTGCTGGAAAGCTAGGATATCAACAGGGAATTCTACAGAAGTGGATGACCAAGGATCCTCTGCCTCTCTCTCTCTCTAGTATCCATATGTGCTACCACTCTCCCTTACTACATGGGTTTTCTTTTTTCTGTTTTTTTTTTTTTTTTTTTTTTTTTTAGACGGAGTTTTGCTCTTGTTGCCCAGGCAGGAATGCAATGGTGCAATCTCGGCTCACTGCAAGCTCTGCTTCCCAGGTACAAGCGATTCTCCTGCCTCAGCCTCCCGAGTAGCTGGGATTACAGGCATGTGCCACTATGCCCAGCTAATTTTGTATTTTTAGTAGCAACAAGTTTCTCTGTCTTGGTCAGGCTGGTCTCAAACTCCTGACCTCAGGTGATCGGCCCCCCTCGGCCTCCCAAATCACTGGGATTACAAGCATGAGCCACCGCGCCTAGCTCTACATGGGTTTTCATAGGTGAATCCCACTCTTCCCCCTCCCATTTGTAAATCTACCCATTTATCCAAATAAGGTTCTTAGCCTAGAACCCACTGATTCCTAGAAGAGTCAGAGATAAACGTTAATAGGGTCATAAAATCATATACATGAGTTGGGTATGCTTTTGTGTATATGGGGGTCTTTTTCATGAAGAGAAAGACTATACTTTTTATCAAATTCACAGTGACCTAGACCCAAGAAATGTTAAGAACATTTATTTTAAGGCCTAACTCAAAGGCTATTTCAATACCATAAGCCTATGATCCTCAAACCTCTATCCCCACCTGAATCACCCATGGCCTGCCTGTGTTATCTCACCTGTTTCAAAGAAACCTCAACATTTTCAACTGTTTTCTAATCATTGAGGTATAACTTACGTATGCTCAAGTGCACAGCTATGAACTGTGTGGTCCAGTGAATTATTAATTTGTGTATACTCATGTGCCCAGCACCTAAGCAGATCTAGAACATTTTCAGCTAACCTGTTGAATCTTTCATGTCCCCTCTCGACCAATGCCATCCTCACAGGTCACTATTATGACTTCCAGCATTATAGTTTTGCCAGTTCTTTTTAAACAAAACTTTATTGGTAATAGTTGTTTTTTGTTTTGCTTTTTGTTTTTGGGTTTTTTTTGTTGTTGTTGTTTTGTTTTGTTTTTAACATAGTCTCACTCTGTCAGCAGGCGAGAGTGCTGTGGCACAATCTAGGCTCACTGCAACCTGTACCTCCCAGGTCCAAGCGATACTCCTGCCTAAAACTTCTGAGTAGCTGGGACTACAGGCACACACCACTACACCCAGCTAATTTTTGTATTGTTAGTAGAGACGGGATTTCATCATATTGGATGAAATACTGAGACTATTGAAATATTGAGACTAATCTAGGCTCACTGCAACCTGTGCCTCCCAGGTCCAAGCGATACTCCTGCCTAAAACTTCTGAGTTGCTGGGACTACAGGCACGCACCACTAAACCCAGCTAATTTTTGTATTGTTAGTAGAGACGGGATTTCATCATATTGGATTGAAATATTGAGACTATTTCATCAAAATAGTCTCAATCTCTTGAACTCATGATCTGCCCGCCTCAGTCTCCCAAGTGCTGGGATTACAGGAGTAAGGTACCACACCTGGCCTTGTTTTGTTTTGTTTTGTTTTGTTTGAGACAGAGTCTAGCTGTGTCGCCCAGGAGTGCAGTGATGCAATCTCAGCTCACTGGAACCTCCACCTCCTGAGTTCATTGATTATCCTGCCTCAGCCTCCCAAGTAGCTGGGATTACAGGTGCTTGCCACCATGCCTGGCTATTTTTGTATTATTTTTAGTAGAGACAGAGAGAGTTTTGCCATGTTAGCCAGGCTGGTCTCGAACTCCTGACCTCAAATGATCTGCTCGCCTTGGCCTCCCAAAGCACTGAGATTACAGCACCCGGCCTTATTGGTAATAATTTTGACAGATATTTACAACAGCACACTGTTCAAGAGGAAATCTCATCCTTTTGAAGCACATAGGTTGAATCACCCTAAGCCCACCTGAAGCCCCACCCCAGGCCCGAGAGCTCCTTCTGGGATGGGAGGAAGAAATGAGGGGGAAATATGAAGACGAATAAGGTGGCTTGCCAGCAGCTCCTCACTTTTCTATTAAGAAAGAAAATAGGCCTCACACAGTGGCTCATGCCTGTAATCCCAGCATTTTGGGAGGCCAAGGCAGGAGGATCACCTGAGGTCAGGAGTTCAAGACCAGTCTGGCCAACATGGCAAAACCCCATCTCTACTGAAGATAGAAAAATTAGTCAGGGGTGGTAATGGGTGCCTGTAATCCCAGCTACTCAGGAGGCCAAGGCAGGAGAATTGCTTGAACCCAGGAGGCAGAGGTTGCAGTGAGCCAAGAGCATGCCACTGCACTCCAGCCTGGGCAAAAGGGCAACACTTCATTTCAAAAAAAAAAAAAAAAATAGAAAACAGCACAAGGGTAGCAGGAGAGAAGAGGTGAAGGATGACTGACAGCTAAGCTGGAGGAAGACCATCCAGGTTGGGAAGCGGCAGAATCTGCTGGGTGAATAAAACAGGCAGCCCCTCCCCAGCAACCCTAGCCATGAACCCTGGGCCATGAGGTGGGGCAGAGGGACTTGAGCCTCTTCCATGTCCTTTTGCACAAGTGGCTTCCCATAAGGGGAAGCTGGGCATTACAATCTGGCTAAGAATAAAATTCAGGAGTTTCAGGGAAATGCTGCTGTGCAGAAAGACGGGTTTGGGACTCTCCCTGTCTTTTGAGGGGACAACTTCTCTTCGACAGGGAGTGGGACAGCTGCTTTGTCTGGCTCCCACAGCCCAAGGGTGAAGAAAAGTCTGTTGGGGAAGAAGAGAGTGGAGGCTTCCTGAAGGAACTGAGACCTTTGTAAGAGAGGCAGAGGATGCCCCTGGGGAGCGGGAAGGGGAGATTAGCAGTTCAAGAGGAGAAGTTCAAACCTCAGAGCCTGCTTCCATCGTCAATTGGCTTCCTGGATTAGTTAAAATGGATCTGGGAATGGGGAGACATGGGAAGGATGGGAGCAGGTGAAAGTAGAGGAAGGAGGAAAAGGGGACACTGGTGGAACTTAAAGATGCTTTTTAATTGTTTTTATTTTTTAATTTTAGCGAGCAGCCCACTGAACATGGCACTAAACCTCTCTCCTTCCCAGGTGGAACTACTCTTAAAGGCAGGTGTGCTTTTCATTCATCCTCTCTTAGTGAGTGGTGCCTGTTCCGTGCTGGAGTTAAGTTTGGGCCCCTCTTTCCACACCCTGTTCCTGGATACACCAGCAAGACCTGACCTGAATAGAACTGAGAAACTCATTTAAAACAGGTAGAAGTGGGCTGGGGCAATGGGGACTCTGCGGGAGGAGGAAGGGAGAAGCATAGAGGGCCCAGGAAGGCATAGGGGGTGAGGGAGCTGCTGGTGTTTCTGTCCCTCTAAATATCTGGGCTTCCTGCTACCCCAACCCTGGAGGGTGGGGTGAGGGGTGAAACCAGATGCGAGGCACTCTGGGGCCCTCTGGTTGTTCAGTCCAACCCTGCCACCCACCAAAGAGAAAAAGAAAGAAAAGAAAACCCACAGGGGCAAAAGCAGACCCCTAAAACTCAGAAAACTCTTTAGCACACTTCTCGTTGATGGAGATCCGTATCTCTTCCTCCTCGTAGTTGTCAAAGTTACTGGCATCCCCAGGGCCTGCGAACTTCGGGATGAAGGGAGCTTCCACCTTCTTCTCATAGATGGCAATCCAGTTGGTTGTGGCGAACCACTTGTGGTTCTTGATGTCGCCGACCCCGTTCCGGAGGTTCCCGAAGCGTTTCGTGAGGTCCACCTGCAGCAGACTCCGCAGCAGGTCCTTGAGGTCAGAGCTGACGTGGGAGGGGAACCGCACCCTCCCAGAGACGATCTTCTCATAGATCTGGATGGGTTCCTGGCCGTAGAAGGGCGGGAAGCCCACGGCCATCTCGTAGGTGAGCACCCCCAGGGCCCACCAGTCCACGGCCTTGTTGTAACCTTTGCTCAGGATGATCTCAGGGGCCAGGTACTCGGGGGTCCCGCACAGGGTCCAAGTGCGGCCCCTGACGCGCTTGGCGAAACCGAAGTCCGTAACCTGCAGGTAGCCTTGCTGGTCGATGAGGAGGTTCTCGGGCTTCAGGTCGCGGTGGACGAGGTCGAGCGAGTGCAGGTACTGGAAGGCCAGGACGACCTGGGCAGCATAGAAACAGGCATGG